TGACTCGAGCGACAGAGGCAGGACGTCGTTGATGAAGCTAGATGTCGTAAGGCTGTTTGTACTGGACATATTGGGGAATTGTGCTTGATTATTTGTGTCTTCGTTCTTTGTAGGGACCGGATCTGCTGCTGTTACTCGAAGTATTACAAGGCTTGGTCTACCACCACACAAATCACTTGTGCTCCCATGCTTGACTCCCTCCACATTCAGCTCCCTGAGTTCAACCATCAACCTCTTCATCTTTTCCGACAGTAGCCAGTACCATTCTGTATACCTCAGATCCAGCACCCATAGCTTCTGGAAACATGCCATGTTTTCATTGTGGCTTGGATGCTCATCATCATCTGTGATATTTGTGCAATGGTCCAGATGGAGCAATCTTAGTTGGGCACAATGGACGAAGGGAGGAGATGCAAAACTGAAGGTGCAATGAGACAGATGTAACACACGAAGCTTGTTGCCTTGTGAATGTTGGAACATGCGAACCGGCAATATTGATGTTGTATTTGTTGGTGGTTCATCTACAGAAAGGAAGAACGATGTGACCTGAGGAGGCAGCACATGAGTGTTATCATTTCGCAGTTCTTTGTGGGTGGTGAAATTCCAGCGGTTAACATGTGAATCATTCAATACATCTAGCAAAAAAGCTGCAGCCTCGTCAGATCCTATAACAGGTGAATCCAAGCTCATGTTTCTGTGCAGAGAATAGCCAATCTCCCATGCCGATGCATTGTCTTGGCCCTGTATAATACCATCGCAGATCCAATAATTTGGTGCATGTGTCTTGAAGTTCATAGCAATCAGTGCCCTGTATATGAAGCACTCCATGACTATATTGTGTTTCATGTGGTCTGGCTGAACAATCCCCGTGCACCTGGCAACCTCCAAAGCCTCTTCATGCAGTAGATCTCGCGCTTCCTCATCTTCAAATTCAAGAGAAGCAGATAAGCGAACATCTGTCTGACTCTTCATCTTTACCTTTTCCCCATCTTCTAGTCTGGGACGGTTCCGAAACCTCCCGTGCCAGGTCCACAACACCTTGTTACTCAAAAGTGATATTACTGGGACGCCACAATCATACAAATCAATGTATCTGCTGCTTCCATTGTGAAAAACCACCACAAATCTACTGTTATAAAGCTTTCTGAATATTTCCATTCTAATATCTGCTATCACCCCTCTAGAACCTTCATCCGTGCCGTTGAAATCGTCCTCCTCATCGCACCGATCAAAGATGTCCATCACAGACTGCGGAAGATCCAGCTCCTCTGCTACTGTCTTTTGCAGAGACCTCATGCTTTTCCACACGGAGCAATCCACATGGATAACCTTATCAAGCTTGTTCAATCTTGTTGATGATTTTAGCCGTTGGGCTACCAGACGGAGAACAGCAGATGCTCCCCATCCCCCCCAGCCCTTGAAGTAGATCACGTTTCCTTTGCTTGTGTCCTCCAAAACACCAATTATCGATCCTGCTGCAGCATCGATGTTTTCTGCCTGGATCTCTATCTTCTGCGGTGTTCAACAATAATAACAGCAAATGAGGTTCGCCATTTTTAGCTTTATTTTTGAAACTCTTCAATTTCAAACTACAAGGCGCATCATAATTACAAAAAAAACCCGTAATCAATTAAAACATAACTTATTAACACAAATAAAAGCAAGGATCAAGTGGTGCATATAAAATCATGCAAGTGAGTGATAACTGCATAATCACTGATCAAGTGTGTAAAAAATTAAGTGCAAAGACCACACTGAATATGCTATAGATTTTTCAAACTTCAAATGCTAGCAGAAGCAAGTGTAAAAAAATAGGAGAAAAAGTTCGCATCATGATGGCCTTTAATTGTCGGGCATACCACTACTGAAGATCCGAGTTGAGCTCACTAACTAAAGAAATTGTAGGACACAAATCTGAAGCATTAATCACTGAAGATAAAGGTGAGTGTCACATTACCTCTGGAGGCATGATGAATCAAACCAATCTTCTATTTTGGCTAGGATCTAGTTCGCACTTAGCAACAAGGCCAGCAGCTTCATGCCAAACGACGTGCGGCAGCAAATTCCTTCCTTTCCTACACATTTGAACAAGTTAACATCATTTCTCGTTAAAGAATTGGTGACTCGTACAGATTTGTCGAAGGAATTAACTAATCTGTTGATATGTATACAAAATGATTCAGGTTGGTACCTTGATTAATTCCAGCGCTGGCAGAAGCATAAAGAGACTACACCAGCAAAATAGATAGAAGAGGTGGACAAGGAAACTGGAAGTTGCATGGAAACATATGCCTTGCGTAGAAGGAATATGGATGTAGCTTGGCTAGCTCGTACAGGAAACGGGGCATGCATATGCAATTATGCATACACATGAGCTAGCAGGCATTCATTGCGTCTGCTTTGCGTGCTTTTCTCTGCGCTTTATCTCTCTAAACAAAAGTTGTGAATTCCTTGCTTCCCAGTTCCCACACACCACACCCATCATCATATTCTTTGCTTGCTATGTTTAAAGATACACAGGCATATAAAGCTAAAGATAAAATAGAGGTTACTTTGTTGCATGTCATCCCGATGGCATTTGTGCGTGTGTTGCTTGTGCGCAGCCGCAGGCTTGTGTACCTAGACGCATGTCGGTGGTTGCCCATGGAGGTGCTGCAGGCAAGCTAGTTGATTAATTTTTATTTTGAAAGATCCCCCGTTGCTGCATTAATTTGGATCGGTCATATGCATCAAGTTGCATGGCGTGTCGTTTAGCGGAATTATATAGTCCTTGAGGGCATGTGTTGCATTTCGCATGCACGGCAATGATATACACTACTCCCTCCGTTCACATTTATAAGTCCCTTTTAAAATTGAGTTGTTCTGCACGCTGTCTGAAATGTCTACAACGCCTTATAAAACTGAACAGAGGGAGTAGTAAAACTACAAAAAAGAAATTGAGGGTGAGTAAAACTACAAGTTGCTCTTACCTTAATACAAATGAAAGCAGCGCTGCTGCTCTTTGTCAAAAAAAAAATTGCACGTGAATTTTGTTTGTTAGTTAATGTACTGGTCCAGCAGCGAGGACTTCAAAAGAGGCGAAATCTCGATATATATCCATACTCCATGTACTCCGTCATGCTGGCCATTGCATTGCATGGAACCCAAGATACTACTACTAGTAGGTATAGTAGGTAGTGGTGGTATTCAATGGTTAAGCTTGTCCACTCCATCCACCATCCAGAACAGGAGTTCAATAAGCCCAATTAGGCTAATTGCAGCCTAGTTGGTAGCTTGGCATTACAAAAACATGACGTGCTAGTTAGCTAGCTAGCTGCTGATTTTTTTAGGCAAAGTTAGCTGCTAATACCAAGGGCGGATCTAGCAGGCTTTGGCATGCAGTGGTCTGGACTAAAATAGGCTCAATTTGGCCTACTTTGCGTTCGGTTGGCTTCGGACTGGTTTGGACGGGCTGAGATGAAGCAGAAAAGTTTGGCCACGAAATTGCAGCATCGATTGATCCATAGCCTATTCCTGCTTCGTGCTGTTAGAAAAGAAAGGGAAATGTCTATTTTTTTTTAAGAGGAAAGACCAGCTGAAACCTAAATTAGCTAGGAGGGATATTGTCAAGGGAAAATGGTTATAAACGTCTCTTCAGAAAAAAGCAAGTAAGCTTCACCCAAAGATGGACCCTGCTTATGATATTGCGTAAGAAGAAGCAGAGCAGTGGACCCTGCTTAATAAAAGAGCAATTCCTAACAAAGATGATCATATCTCTGAAGAAACTTCGTCTTAAATCAAAGCTACCTGATCGATCTATGATGTTTTGGCTGTGTGCATCTCAGTTAAGCAGAGGCCGGGTGTAATGCTTAAACCTTTTAAGTAATAATAAAGCGCCATTTATCAAAAAAAAAAAGAGAAGAGGAGCCAGGCGGGAGGGAGAAGCCGTGAGTTTGGCTGCGCATTTGGTCTTCTAGATCCACGATGTGAAGGCAGGTAGGTGCTTTGGCATGATCAAAGTTGTTGCGCTAGATTTTAGATGCAAAGAAGCCACCACCATATAAGGGGAGTTCCTACCATCATGACCGGCGCCACTTATCTGAATTTGTTGCGGAAATTGTCTTTGGTCACTGAATGCATCGAAACGCATCGAAAACAGTAGTTGCTGGTTGCTGGTAAGGTGTTGCATGGTAGCTAACCGAGCGATTTTTTCCTTTCATTTCAGTGACATGGATAAATGAAAGGGATTCTGCTTCTGCTTCCTTGACATGTATGGTTAACATCTTCAGTCTTCCTAGTGTAAGCCAAATCTGCTACAGCCAATAGGACTCTCCATTAATCAGTTAACCGCTTGTGGCCTACATATTATCTATGAGTCTAATTCTAGCTAGTAAAAAAGGAACGGTTTCCAGCAACAACCAGTCAAGAGAAAACCGGTCCAAAATTTACAAGCTTATATGATCAACGCATAACAAAACATAAAGCCGCAGTTTATTATATCACACACACACAGATCACCATTTGCATACAAGTCCAAGGAATTGTTTAGCATTACATTAATCAGTCCATAGCTGACAAATCACACACCACAACACACAAATGAGGAGCAAGAGCAGGAGCAGGTAGGGTGCTCATGCCAGCCAAGCTGAATGCCCTCTCTTATTTATTTGTCTCTTGACTCAAAGCTTGTACCGTACATCATCTATAGAACCAGATGATGCATACTTGCTTTGACGCATTCATGGCTTCGTTGAGCAATGATAGCCAAACAAACCGAATCAAGTCAAACCAAACCAAAGAAAATCAAGCCAAACCAAAGCAAATAAAATCAAACTGAACTGAAGATGCACGACCACACCATGGCAATGCAGATGCATATTTCACACGGACCAATCAAGCAGCATCAAGTAAGACAGCAATCCACACAAACATGTACACTCCAGAGAAAGCTTCAGCTAATTAAGCGCCATAGCACCATAGGATCGACGTGCCAGTAGCGCTCAAAACATGGAAGGAATTGTTTACCTACAATGAAGCATAACAAATTGTTGATGATAAGATTGATTCCTTAAACATACATAGTATCCGAACTAGACTAGTACAGATAGAATGGTAAAAGTAAGTTGGCTAGCACACTAAGTAAGTTACTAATGAAATGAGACATGGACCAAACATATCTTACCTGAGCACGGTGCCTCTTGGCAGGTGGGCTTTCTTGTAGTATCGCGAGTGGCGTGTTTCATAGAGCGAAGGGTCGTGGTTCGCCTCCAGACCGTCCCACTTCAGGTTGTCCCACCAGTCTTTCTCACAGTTCATCCTGGGCCGATGGCTAGTGCTGCCGCTGACGGCTGGCAGGCGGCTAAGGGCCCAGCAGCCCCTGATCTTGACAGTCTCCAAATTTGGTGCGGACATCCTGCTCCCACAGATGCTGTGTAGAGTGGACAGCTCGTACAGGTGGATCCTCCTTAGCTTGGGAAATCTTATAATTTTGTGCTTCTCTTGGCGCTTGGGGTCCAAAGGGAAGACTTCCTTCAGAGCACCGCAGCACACGATCTCGAGCGTCTCCAGGCTAGGCAGGGTGTCCATATGCTTAGACAAGGGAAGCACATGTATGAGTCTGGGGCAATTGTCCAGGTGCAAGAAGTTTAGGTCTTCAAAGGATTGTCTACCAGGTTGACCTACTGCACTCCAATTCCATATGTAGCACGCCTTCGGGAGCTGGGACGCCCAGAACGTAGACAAGTACACAAAGGTGGATTGGCCATCTCTTACTTGGGGAGTAGCAAAGACAGAGCATAGGTTGGGGCACCTCTCGACACGGCCCCATCGGAGGTAGAACCAGAGGGAACCTTGTGGAAATGGAATGCAAGTGATGGATAAGCTATCATGCACATGAAGCATGTAAGCCCTATCATACACGAAACTAGGGGGTAAAGTAGCACTAGTAGTAGTTCCTTCAATGCTGCTCTGTTCTTGCTGTAGTAATCTCCCCTTCATCTCCTGTTCATCTTGTACTTGAACGTACCAGTCTTCAGCACTTGGAGTACACCGAGGTGGGCAAAGCCATATCCAGCTAATCACGCCTTCATTACCAGCACCAGCCTGCAGGTGGCCTTGAAAATCAACATCCCTTGCATATAAATGACGATAAGGCTGCCGTAGGCTCCCGATTCCTTTAGCAACTTCACTGTCGTCAACAGCAACTCTACTTGCAGGAGATGAATTCATTTCCATATGTATGTTTCCCAAGTAAAATCTTTTTCCGAAGGGCTCAAGAGACCTAAGGAGCCTTGCATCCCTTACAGCGAAGTACCAGATGCACTTACTGGAAAAGATGTCTCGTTGTGCAGCAGCAACAGGAAGAATAAATGATGATCTTGTAGCAGAACTAGTCTCAGTGGTCTTTTCTTTTGAATTATCGTGGCAAAGTAGCGGAGATCGGATGGTGCTGATGTGTAGGTGTAGCCAATACGGAGACGCTTTCATTATGTCTTCTTCTGGCGGCCATAATATTGCACAGAGCTTCTCACAGCCTAGGAGGATGAGACGCTTGAGGTATGGAGCTTCCATTTTACTGAGGTCAAGGGTTTTCACTGCGGTTCCCGAGAGGTCCAGCTCCTCCAGGCTCCACAATTTTCCTATGAGATGTATACTCTTCAACCGAGAACAACCCCGAAAGGAGATGCTAGATATCTTGGCAGATGTTGCAGCTTTGTTGATGAAGCTAAATGACTCGAGCGACAGAGGCAGGACGTCGTTGATGAAGCTAGATGTCGTAAGGCTGTTTGTACTGGACATATTGGGGAATTGTGCTTGATTATTTGTGTCTTCGTTCTTTGTAGGGACCGGATCTGCTGCTGTTACTCGAAGTATTACAAGGCTTGGTCTACCGCCACACAAGTCACTTATGCTCCCATGCTTGACTCCCTCCACATGCAGCTCCCTGAGTTCAACCATCAATCTCTTCATCTTCTCCGATAGCAGCCAGTACCAGTGTGTATACCTCAGATCCAGCACCCACAGCTTCTGGAAACATGACATGTTTTCGTTGTGGCTTGGATGCTCATCATCTTCTGTGATATTTGTGCAATGGTCCAGATGGAGCAATCTTAGTTGGACACAATGGACGAAGGGAGGAGATGCAAAACTGAAGGTGCAATGAGACAAATACAACACATGTAGCTTGCTGCTTTGTGAATGTTGGAACATGGCAACTGGCAATATTGATGTTGTATTTGTTGGTGGTTCATCTGCAGAAAGGAAGAACGATGTGACCTGTGGAGGCAGCACATGAGTGTTATCATTTCGCAGTTCTTTGTGGGTGGTGAAATTCCAGCGGTTAACATGTGAATCATTCAATACATGTAGCAAAAAAGCTGCAGCCTCATCAGATCCTATAACAGGTGAATCCAAGCTCATGTTTCTCTGAAGAGAATTGCCAATGTCCCATGCTGATGCATTATCTTGGCCCTGTATAATACCATCACAGATCCAATAGTTTGGTGCATGGGCATTCAAATCTATAGCAATCAGTGCCCTGTATCTGATGAGGCACTCGATGACTATCTTGTGGCTCATATCATCGGGCTGAACAATCCCAGTGCACTTGGCAACATCCAAAGCCTCCTCATGGAGTATATATCTCATTTTCTCAACATTCCATTCAAGAAAAGAAGCAGATAAGCGAACATCTATCTGACTCTTCATCTTTACCTTTTCCCCATCTTCTAATCTGAGACTCATCCGAAACCTCCCGTGCCAGGTCCACAAGACCTTGTTACCCAAAAGTGATATTACTGGGACACCACACTCATACAAATCAATGTATCTGCTGCTTCCGTTGTGGAAAACCACCAGAAATCTACTGTTATAGAGTTTTCTGAATATTTCCATCCTGATATCTGCAATCACCTCTCTGGAGCCTTCATCTTTCCCATTGAAGTCGTCGTCCTCGTCATACTGATCGAAGATGGCCATCACGGACTGCGGTAGCTCTAGCTCCTCCGCTACTGCCTTTTGCAGAGACCTCATGTTTTTCCACACGGAGCAGTCCACATGGATAACCTTATCAAACTTGCTCGATCTTGTTGATGATTTCAGGCGTTGGGCTACCAGATTGAGAACTGCGGATGCTCCCAATCCTTTCCAGCCCTTGAAGTAGATAACGTTTCCTTTGCTTGTATCCTCCAAAACATCAAATATTTCTCCTGCTGCGGCATCGATGTTTTTTGCATGGATCTTAATCTTCTGCAGTGTTCAACAAGAATAACACCAAATGAGGCTCGCCATTTTTAGCTTTATTTCTGCAAGTCTTTCATTTCAAACTACAATGTGCGTCATAACTAAAAAAAACCATAAATCAATTAAGACATAACTTATTAACACAAATAAAAGCAAGGATCAAGTGATGCATATAAAATCATGCAAGTGAGTGATAACTGCATAATCACTGATCAAGTTGTAAAAAATTAAGTGCCAAAGACCACACTGAATATGCTATAGATTTTTCAAACTTCAAATGCTAGCAGAAGCAAGTGTAAATAAATAGGAGAAAAAGTTCTCGCCATGATGGCCTTTAATTGTTGGGCATAGCACTACTGAAGATCCGATTGGAGCTCACAGCTCACTAACTAAAGAAATTAAGAAAGTAGGACACAACTCTGCAGCATTAATCACTGAAGATAAAGGTGAGTGTTACATTACCTCTGGAGGCATGATGAATCAAACCAATCTACTATTTTGGCTAGGATCTAGTTCACACTTAGCAACAACGCCAGCAGCTTCATGTCAAACGATGTGCGGCAGCAAATTCATTCCTTTCCTACACATTTGAACAAGTTAACATCATTTCTCGTTAAAGAATTAGTGACTCGTACAGATTTGGAGAAGGAATTGACTAATCTGTAGATATGTATACAAAATGATTCGGGCTGGTACCTTGATTAATTGCAGCGCTGGCAGAAGCCTAGATAGACCACAGAAGCAAAATAGATCGACGAGGCGGACAAGGAAACTGGACGTTGCAAGGAGACATGTGCCTTGCGTACAAGGAATATGGATATATCTTCGCTAGTTAGCAAGTAAAGGAAACGGAGCTGGCATGTACAGCTATGCTTGCATACACATTAGCTGGCATTCCTTGCGTCTGCTTTGCATGCTTTTTTTGTGTGTTTTATCTCTAAAAAAAAGCTGTGAATTCCTTGCACACCACATCTATAATCATATTCTTTGCTTGTTGGGCTTAAAGATACACAGGCATTTAAAGGTAAAGATAAAAATAGAATGTTACTTTGTTGCCTGTCATCCCGTCAGTTGACCAAGTTATGTATCAGGCTATATCTCGTCAGCCTTGAGTTGCAGAAAATGATGTTTTGGCCACTGAGGATACCTCTGAAACATAAATTTAATTACTAACAAATTTCTATTTGCATGTACTTGTACACCATCTTCATGCCAAAAATTGCATTTGGACCACATAGTTTTACCACACAGCTGTAACTTGCACTGCAGATTTTTCTAAAAAAAAAACATCAAACCGGACCAGGTACCATTGTCGTAAAATTCAAACCGGACTAGGTAACAAAAAACGAGCCAGTTCAGTGGTTCGAACCCACATGTATTTCTGCTTCCATGTTGAGGCCCCCTAATTACTTTGCCACGTCAGGGCAACCTCACTCAAGTCAAGCCTATGTCTGTTGATCTTATGTTCTGAACCATGTCCTGAGTGTTCGCAGTCAATATTTATCAGTCTACCAACATTTCCACTTACCAATGAGCAATTAGTTGAGACAGCTTGCAAATAGAATGAGCGAAAAATAACCAAAAACTCACTGTGTAAAAAATTGGAAGCAACTGTACTTCAGTTTCTTCCCTTAAGTTAAGAAACATGGGCAGCTCATTTTCAAAAAAAGAGTATAATCCAGCTACAAAAATGTGATGGCTTAGAGAATTAACATTGTCTCTACTTTTAACAAATACATGTTCTTTAAATTCCTCTATCAAGGAATGAAACACATTAATTCACAGCAAAAGAGAGAAGCAGAAACACTGCTACCCAATTCATGAACTCTATCTCTATCTCTCTCTTAGGCTGTTGAAACAAAAACATATCGACTTGGAAAGAGAGTAATGAAACCGAGGCTTCTAAAGGTTCTATCCATGATTTTAAATCGTTGGCAAAATGGCCACAATCTCAGCTGGGAAAGCTCGGCGCGATTTGCAGGCAGGAGATGGCGGCGGTTTAGGCTGAAATTTTGCTGCCAAAAATGCTGGTTCTATCACAGTATTCTATCATGGAAACAATTAAAGCGAAAACATCAGTTCCCCGCCAGGGTACCGCCGGTCTGCAGTACTGCGATACATATATCTCATGAGACAAGGGGAATTCCATGTTATACCCTGGAGGCGATCCCAATGGTGCAGCAGCCCCTGGCCCCATTGATACATCAGCAATGGATGCAAGGCGTACAGTGCTGCGAGGTCGACGATGCAATTGTTGGCACAACCGGGCGTCCAGTGGCAGTAGCAGTACCAGGGGACGCGCCCTCCGTTTAGCACCAGCGGAGGTAGCTACCACAGTTCAAACTTCACCAAAGAAAAAGGCATATTCAAAGACCTCCTAGCCTAGCCTAGCCTGAGAGAGATATCATCTTCTGCAAAGAATTACCTGGAGTAACTCAGGTGAATGAACGTTAAAGGATGCTAGTCAGCCGTCCCTACTTAAAAAGAGCAATTCCTCCAAAGACGATGATCCCTAGAAATCACCGGATGCGCACACCGCACAGAGAGCAGGCGGGACCATTATCTCTGAAGAAACTTCGTCTTTAATTAAAGCTAGCTCTGCTCGTCTATGGTATTTACTATTTACTTTAGCCTGGCATATAAGAAGAGTAGCCAGGCAAATAAAGCCTGGAATATGGCTCCGGTTGGTGAGGGTCTTTAGTCCTGGTTCATGAACCGGGACTAAAGGGTCGGTACTAATGCCCTGGCCCTTTAGTTCCGGTTCAATCCAGAACCGGGACAGATGGGCCTCCACGTGGCCTGTGCGCTGAGCCCAGGCAGGAGGGCCTTTGGTCCCGGTTGGTGGCACCAACCGGGACCAATAGGTATCCACGCGTCAGCATTTCTGTGGCTGGGGTTTTTGTTTTTTTTAAGAGGGGGGTTGGGGGTTTTGGGGGGTTAATTTAGGTGTTTCATATATTTTGTTAGCTAGCTAATTAATAGAGAGAAGTGTCCTTTCTTTTGTCCGTACTTGGTCGACGCTACGTACTATACATACGTATAGAGAGGACTAGCTAGACACGCTAGCTAGCTAGTAAGCAAACGAAGGAAACAGAAGATCATCATGAACATATATGCATACATAGAGAAGTGATATCGACCACCTCTCCTTCTCCGAGAGATTGGTCGAATAACAAGTTCTCGTATATCTATCCGACACTACCGGCTACATATATACAATAATTATCTTTTACAAATATAATCTCCTAACATACGGACGCGTGGTCCACATAGTATTCTCCGTCTTCAGCGATCACGTGGTCAAGAAAGAATGCCGCCAATTCCTCTTGAATTGCTCGCAGGCGATCTGGTGCTAGGAGTTCATCCCGCATCCAAAACATCTAATTTTAAGAAGGGGGTCAATACATATATATATATATATATATATATGAATGAATGAAACTCAACACAAATGATGGTAATAAAATAAAATTGTGAATATTGTTATTTACGCACTTCATATTGTTTGTGAGAATAGCCCCGCTCACAGGTCGTGTGGCGGATGGACTCGCAAATGTAGTATCCACAGAAATCATTCCCTTGTTCCTGCCACAACCACTTTACAAGAAATAGAGGCCAATCAAACTGATAATTAGCAAGCATGCTAAATGGTATTGATGAAACTAGCGCTTGAATCACTAGGAGATGAGTGGAATATGCTACTATAGTACTTACTTTCGGGTGTCTAAATTGCAGCTTCTTCGGCAGTCCCGGAACTCTTTTAGTGAATTTTCTCTAAAACCTGCCGTACAAAGAAAACAATTACTTGATATCAGAAATGAACAAAGTTGCTGATATGGTGGATAATGATCGATTTAACTTACTTCTCGAGCATTTCAGTCATGTCCGCATATTCCTTGGGATCTTTTCGTTTGGAGTCTAAGACAGTTACTACTCCCTGCTCAAGCTTAATCTCTAGGAGAATATAGTGGTAGCTGCGCACGCATGCATAACTCATCAATATTACATTACTATAACCTGGACTAATAAGGAAAACCGAATATGCCACAAGACAGTAACACTCACTTGAAGTTGTAAGGAAAGAGTATTATATCTTTGTGTTCATTTATTACCAACGATTGTAGCAAGTTGGCCTCGGTATTTTCGGCATGAAATTCAACCTCAGTTGCATCTATGAGATATGTGTTAATGAACCCAATATCACCCACTTGTCTTTTCTTCAATTCGGCGATCTTCAATCTGCATAATATAGTGAGAATAATTATAAATACATGCAATGAAAGAGCTGAGTTATATAGAGAGACTTAATGACAGAAGTAGTACTACTTACAGACAGTAGCAGGTGACCATTGCTTTATCGAGGGCCAATTGATTGAAAAACTGATACAACTCCTCAAATGGAATAGGCAACAGTTCAATTCCAACGAGGTCATGCTCCTTTTTAACTCTCACATACAAAGTACTACTCCCCTCAGACTCTCTGCAGGTTTTCATGTACCAATCATGCAATCTGCGCATCATCGTTGATAGAGATCTTTCATCTTTGACGAGAGGCTTCCCGTACTCGTATCTTTGTTTCTGACCTCCAAGAAATCATAATGTACATCGTCAGGCAGGTAATCTTCAGGATTGCCATAACCGGGCACCATCCTCGGATCGACGATGTCGCAAGCAGGCACCTTGAGCGGGGGGCACGATTGCTTCGCTTGTTCGCTGAGCTGGGCAATTTGTTTCCCAGCTCGTCGTTCTTTCATCCTTTGATCACTTTTAGTACTTCCCGACCTCTCCGCTTCGGCAAATGTCTTTCCAATAATGCGCTCATAGTTACCTTTCGACGGAGACTTGGGTGGTTTTGTCAGGGCAGCCAGAGTGGGCTTCGCTTTCACCGGCTCTACCTTCTCCTCCGGAGGTGGATGTCTCTTTGCTTTCAACCCTTCAAACCAGTCATCCACTTCGGTCTGCACGATCTTCGCGTTTTCCTCCTCGGTCCTCTCGTACGGTAACTTATCTGGAGTCTTCAGAGAAGGACCGAATCTGTATCTCCTCCCGCCTTTGGCTGTACTGCTAGACGCCGGCAGAGCAGACGGAGCGGATGTCTTCTTTCCTTGCTTACGAGGCGGAGGAGAAGGACTACGACGCGCCGGAGTAGTGGGAGCGGCAGCGAGTCTCTTCCGCCCTTGCTGACGAGGCGGAGAAGGAGGAGGCTGGCTGCTCGGGCGCGCCGGCGCAGGCGGAGAAGGAGGCGGAGTGCCGCCACGCGCCGGAGAAGGAGCCGGCCAAGTGCCCTGATCCTCACTCGTCGGAGGAGGAGGCGGTGGAGGAGGCGGAGTGCCCTAACTCGCCGGAGGAGGAGGAGGAGGCGGAGGCATCCAGTTCGGAAGGTTGATGAGATCCTTCCGCCATAGGCATGGAGTCTTCAGAGCAGAACCCAGCCGATACTCCCCTTCACCGGTACGGTGGTCAAGCCGGAGGTC